ATTGCGGGGTTAGCCTATGTCGCTTTATTTTTTCTCGAGAGAGCGAGCCTCGTGTGCGTGCGCTCATGACTCGCGGATTTCGGTTGTGCTTACCCTGGATCTTGGACTTGACATTGTCAATGGTATCGGAGGACTCCACCTCAAGGGTGATAGTCTTACCCGTAAGGGTCTTGACGAAGATCTGCATCTTGATGGAAGGCCTGCGAAAAAGTCAGTGGGATGCTCGCGACGTTGAAAATATAGCAGGCAGATAGAGAATGGACTGCATGCTAGTTGCGCATGCTCATCACATTCCTATCTGCTTGGATAGGACCAAACTCACCTCGACAGATGTGTCTTCCTCAACCTTGCAAGATTAAAGAAGATCGATGTGCGCGGAAGCCGGTTGGTGATTAAAATCGTTGTGCGGTCACGTGGGTGGGTCATATAGCCGAAAGGAGTCTAGCTTAACAGAAAATGCTGACTGAGCACAATCACGTGCTAGGCGGTGAGGACAAGACAGGAAAAAGGTCGGCCCGTCTGGAGAGCCCAACACGTGACTTGAAGTGATGTGCATGGAGTTATGCCTGAGGCCAAATGTATTTATCCCGTGTTAGACAGGTCAAATATCAGATATTGAGTGTGACGCCATGGGGACCTATCGGCCTATCGGCCTATGGGTACTATATATGGAGCCAAGGTCTATAGAGTATGAGATCGACTTGTTGATATTGAATCTCCTCGGAAACCAACCGAGGAGTTATCAATTTTCTAGGTCTATATAGATTTGGATGCATTTTATTCCAGGGATTAAATGCCCTTGCAGAAGAAGTAGAGATAATTCCAAGCAAGGCCTCGATCATCAAAGGAAAAAAATCCAAGGGCAAGGGAGAGTGGGCCCACTTTTCGTCAGAGCCTGTGGTTTCCCAGACGCCCGGGCTAAGCCGTTGCTATGCCAACACCCCGATTTGTTGATGAGAACGGGTCTCACATAGATCTGGGTTCCAGAACCAAACTTGGGAAACCATTCATACATTCGTGTCTCTGCCCTTCCAGGTTCAGTCCAGAATCCTATTTGAACGGTGTGACCTTCAGGTTTACTGGTTGATTTGAACTTGAACTCTTGAATAGACTTGAGGCTCTAACAACTTCCCACTTTTCCTCTTCCTATTGCCCATTGCTTTCTTATTCACATACTGACACCTCAATCAGGACCCATCCGTCAATCGGCGATATAATCATGAACTCCAACGCGCTGGGAAACGGTCGTCATCGCCGTCAAATCTCCACACCGGTTGCTCCATACCAACCCGCACCAGTCATGACCAATATGCAACCCCGTCGGTCACATCGTCGAGGCCAGACTATGGACTACAGCTCTTTCAGTCAACAGCCCACTATGGACCAACACATGCCGAAGACGGTCTCGCAGCTGCGAGATTATTTTAACGAAAAATCAGGTTTCTCATATCAACAAAGGGATGTACAGCAGTATCAATCTTATGCCCAGCAGCCCGAGCGGTCTTTCATCCCATCAGGCATGCACATGCAACAGCCCTATCAATATCAACCTCATCAGTCGCTCGGGTCTGACTGCCAGGCTTTCAACCAAGAACAATTGCAAGCGATCCACACCACCACTGGCAGCCCGGCGCCCTCTTCTGTTGGCGCCCCGGCTTTGTCTCGATCAGCCAGTGAAAGCTCCGAAAACACCCCATTGAAGCTTGCGCTGCACCGTATGCAACAAGAACAGTTCTCGAACCAGCAACAGCAACAATTTATTGGCAATGCCGATTGGGAATTGTTCCCTCAGCGCAACATGCCAATGGTCCAAAACGAGCAGGTGACAGCCTATGCCGGACCAATGCACCCAGTCTCTGTTCAACCAAAGGCTCCATCTGCGAAGATTCTTTCGCAAATGTCTACTGCTTGTATGCATTTTTCTCTTCATTTTAACCCGACTACAGCTAATTATAATGCAGACAACTCCCCCTTGACCCCGGATTCTACCCCATTGAAAAGATCTATTGATTATTCCATGTACAGCAATGACCCAACACCTTCCAAGTCCCAAAGTTTCTCATTTCCCCAAACCCCTGCCACTGCTGAGATGCAAAGAGCCCAGTCATTCCAAGGAGCCCCCTATGTCAATTCTGTCCAGATTAAGCAGCAAATGCCCTCGCCCGTCAATTCCCCGACTAGCGCCTCGTTCGCTGAAGTTGCCGATATGCCATCCCCCAGCTCATATGGAGTGACACCCCAAAATTCCAATGTTTCAATGACATCTTCCGCTGCCAGAACCAAGAAGCGAGCCCCGTCTACTGTGTCGTCTCCCATCGAACCAGCTGCTCACAATGATGACCTTGATGCTCGAGTCAAGGCCTCAGTCCAGCAAACTGGTGTTTCAACTGACGAAATTGCCAAGTTCATCTCCGGCCCCGACCCCAAAGATGGAAAGTGGGTCTGTCTATTCACAGGCTGCCTTTGCCGCTTTGGTCGCAAGGAAAACATCAAGTCCCACGTCCAAACACATCTCGGAGACCGTCAATTCAAATGCGACATTTGCGAAAAGCACTTTGTGCGCGGACATGATCTCAAGCGCCATCTCAAGACACACAGTGGCAACAAGCCCTTCGCCTGTGCCTGTGGTGCCAGCTTCGCTAGACAGGATGCCCTGACTCGTCACCGCCAGCGCGATATGTGTGTTGGAGGCTTCACCGGTGTGGTTCCAAAGACCACCAAGCGTGGTCGCCCCCCGAAGAAGAAGAACAGCCGCCCTGATATCGACGCTCGTCAGGCCAAGTCCACTCGTACTCGTCAACGTGTTGCTGAGAAGTCCACCTCAATCGCTTCAGCCCAGCCCCAGCCCACTCTGCAGGATGCCCCCGTGTTCAACTCGCCAAACTATGCCCCGTCCACTGCTGTCTCGTCTTTCACGCCGCCCACCTCCCCAGGAGACAGATACCACACGATTTCCTCGCCATGCCAGACCTACAGCCCCAGCCCCCTCGATGCCCAGCTCGAAGATGACATGCTGCCCTTGTCACCACCTCAACTCGCTCACGCTAGATACGAGCAGGCAATGGCTCAGTACGGATCAAATTTCGGTTCCCAGACATACTCGCAGGAATCTACGTACTCGCAGGAATCTCTCTACAGTGAATCTGCTCTCTCGCCTCGCGAGATGTCTTCCCCTCGCTCGGCACCCACTCTGGCTGAATCATCTGTCGGCTCGGAGATCGATATCTTCATGACTCAAGATCCCTCCGAGGACTTGCGCGAGGAGTTCGGCCATCTCGCTCACTCGAGTCTTTCTGCTTTCCCGAATTATCAATTCGTGGATACAACAGACTTCGCCTCTGTCTCATCCTATTACCCCGAGAAGACCTTTTCTGGTCTTCCACACATGGATGATGACCTGACGGACCCAATCGACTGCTTGTCCAGCGAGTTCCTGGTGGACCCTTGAACGGCTTCTGGTAACCAAAAAAGAGTATGCGACATAGACGACGCGGCTTGACATTTCACGGCGAGACTTCATTGCAACGATACGGGACGACCTTGTACACTTTAATGACCCATGACAAAATCGGGCGTTTTCTTTCTCTGCACATTTCGGGATTTGAAACGACTTTGCGGACATGCGGGTGTTTCGGGCTATTTGCTTTTGCCCTCCTTGCCCTTATTTCCCCCTGTATTTCTCTTTTCTTGTTTTTTTTTTTTCTTTTGTCCTTTTAAATGATTGTTTCATCGTTCACGTCTTTTTCGCCTTATCTCATCTCCTCGAAGATGTTCGATATACGGCAGCGTGTTTATTCCAGGTGTTTACCCTTCTTTTTATATGTTTTCATGATGCGATATGTATTTGATGCCTTAACTTTCAATGAATCTCTTCTGTACCTACCCTGTCAACAACATGACTTACTCGAAGGATTGTTTTCCTTCGGTGACAGACATAATTGGCGATAGCCTGTACTCTACTATTTCAAAATTTTATGTCCACGGCTTACATTGGGTTCTATATCATCTGTTATGTCTTGGTCGTAGAATTGTAGGTATTGTCAAGTCAAGGACAAGAAAACATCTCATAAAGGAGCTATAGAGCCTAAGAGAAAGAGAGCAAACACTCTACGTCTCAGCGAGATTCCTTAAATCCGCCGATGTGCATCCATTCGAAGTACAAGATATTCGTTCATGAAAGAGAATGACATATATGATGATACAATTATAAGCAACGCACGTTTCTATTTGGTATTTCTAATTATTCTGCTCCAAAGAATCAGTGATCGACAGTCCTCTCGCGGCATTCCATATCGGGATTTCTGTGCAACTCTATCACATCCCGATATGCCGAATACTTTCCACTAGAACCATGGCGAGGCTCACAATAGTGGAGATAACTCATTCTACTTTGAAACCCAGGTGATCTCGATCTCGATAGGCCGCCCCCCTTGTGAAGCATACACATTACTCTGTGTACGCCCCTTGGGTGGATTCTCGGCATAGAAAGTAGTGTGACCGCTGTAAGTAAGCTTACCATCCTTGACCTGTATGCAGTGTGAGAACGTGAAAAGATATCTCGTATAACTATATGGAATATACATACGGTGAACTCGCTTGGCGTGGTGACGTGGGGTCCGCAAGCAAGGGCGTCTCGCTGGAAGGCACAGGGCCCCTTGCTAGATTGCAGGGTAAACATATCATCTGCAGGATACCATTTACTTCATGTCAGCAAGCAATAGCAGAGGGATCATATGCGGAAAGCACAGCTGCGTACCTGAGATCTTCTCGGCCCGGAAAGTCGCACAAGTTCCTGACGAAAACCAAGTTCCGTAGCTGATAATACAGCCATGCTTTCTGTTAAGTCTCTCCACAATCAAGTTACCTCGGCCTGAAAACGGAGTGCCTGGCGCCGTGGGCTCGGGGTGACCTATGGTTTTCGTCTGAGTAGGCTCGTGCCGAGCATGTTTCAGTGGGTATCTAATTCCCCTGGAAGGGCAATTGGATTTCTGGCCATCTGGTCACTTTGTAAGCTTGCGATCTACCAGGGTGAGTATAGTAACTTTGAAGTTTGACCGACCTGGGCCTGCAGAGATGAATTCTCCGGATTGAAGACTTCCTGCGATGTTGAAATAGTACCAAATCTCATTGAGGGCACCGTTTCGGCAACGGATAGTGACGGGGTTTCCATGGGCTTGTTCCAGTGCAGCTTCAATATCGGCAAGGGCATAGGTCCGCGTCTGAGATGGGATGATGCCAGCATTGGCCAGGAACTGATGCATGGTTAGTGGCTTGATCGGAATATATATAGCCGGTCATTGACCGAGAAAATCAAACTCACCTCATGGGAAGGCAACTCCTTGTAAACCTCAACAGTTTTGTCAAAGTAGTCCACAACATCCTGTTGCGGCAGATAATCCTCGTAGCAATCTGGTTCCAGGGTGCTGACGCAAGTGCCATGCTTGTTCCACTCATGCTGCCACAGATTGCTATCGTCGCCACGGAAATCCTTCCAATACTCGCTCATGTATTCGAGCAAGTCTCCCCGGCCGGCGTCAACTAGGATCAGAGAAATGTTGCTGTGCTTGCGTTTGGAGTCGCAGAATTGGTCAAAGCCGCCGCTGCAGTGATCGGGCCTGAGGAGTTAGTTTTATATTCATTCATCCACGGGATGTGATACAGACTCACCATAGTCCATGGATAGTCCATGCGTCTTCAGGGCCGAGTGCAGGGTCGACATCCCAGAATTGGGTCTGCAGCATTTGACCGCCGGGGTAGTTGAAACAGCAGGTGTCTTGACCGTGGTAATTGGCCTGACAACTTACTTCCGAGCCAGGGCATGATGATGAAGTTCCAGGGGTTGCATTCTCGTTTGCGGTTTGTGAAAGCCAGAGTGAGCCGAAGGTCTTGAGGATCTTCTGGGGTCCGGGGATCCCCATGAACTGTTGTGATGATCCCCGCATCATCGATAGCAGCGTATTGACGTGATCGTGGGAGCACACTGGTAAAATTGGAGCAGAGAAAGAATAGAAGAGTAGATGAGTAGATAAGTACTAGGAAGGTCGTATTCAGATGAGAGATAGGTATACTCAGGAGGCTGCAACGGCTGTCCCCGTACTATCGAAGTCGCCTCGTGCGGAGTCATGCATGACTAAGCGCGGGGGCAGCTGATAAGAGTCACCTGAGCTTTGTTTACTTGCACGACAGCAGCTATGGTTTATATTACACCCCGTTAAAGTTGGAGATGGTCATTTGGAGTAATATTCTTAAATTCAAGAGTGGAGGGGTATCATAGTTGGTTGGTCCACGGTGGGTAAAATAATCTCACTGACCTTGCGCCTGTCATTTCTGGCCTCAGGTGACCTTAACTCTCCTGCTTGCGCGCCTCCTCCTGTTCATGCACTCTTTCTTTCCATAAACGCAGTACTTCGAAGCCAACCTCAACGGCAATGAGTAGAATGATAATCCATTCGAGCCGGAGACCATGTGTCTCACTAAGGCGCTCCCGGAGTACACTTGCGATCTCTTGCGCATAGTCCATCTTCTCGTTCAGCAGTTTGATGCGAATTCCAACATCTAAAGCTCTGCCAGCCTGCTCGTAGTATCCCTCCAAGCCGAGCTCGTGTCGGCTGTCCCAAAATATATCGGGAAGGGAATCAGTGAGCTCGGAATAGAGATTGAGCTGCGCTCGAACGCTGAGTAGCTGCCCCGTCTTGCGGAGGATAAAGTCTCGTGTAAAAGGAAGACGGGATCCCTGTGACAAAAGAGTCGGAATTGGCCGAGTCGACTCGAAATAGTTTGAAAGAAGGCTCTCGAGGACGGCCAACTTCGTACTCCGAGCAAGACCCGACGAAAATGCAACCTTGGTCAACACAGTATCGACGGATTGTTGCGCCGCTGGTGATCCCGCTGCATCTCCGTGACCAGAGTTGGTCCCTAGTATAATTGTATCTCCTTTAATCACACTATTCTCCCGCTTTGGGTCCTCCACGAATTCGAGATCCTCGGTTTCCAAGTCATCCACATGGGCACCTTCTGCTGCGGGCAAGAGAGTTCGTGTTGCCAGGAATGATGTGAATCCTTCTGGGAGCGACCACGCTACCACTGTACCGGAGGGAAACACAAATAAATCGCCCACTTCGTCGGAGGGTAAATCTTTGCTGGAGGGATTCGACATGCGCTGTATGGAGTCTAACGGTATCTGAATATGAACAACTTGCGGGAAAAGTCCCGTTTCCAACGGATCCGGTTCATATCCTCGTTCTTGCAAAATATCTCTAACTTGGCGGATGTTGAATTGCTCGGCTACGGCGTAGGCGGTCACTGTCTAGAGATACCAAAATAATCAGTGGAAGAAAATTGTAGAAAATCTCAGTTATGCCAACCTTAGTCCGATATAAACCCTGCTCTTTGAGGAGGGCCTTGGAGAGAATGCCATCCTTGGACCTCTGTGCCTCTACCGCTACTCGCCGCAATGAAGTGGGAGCTGCTGGTAACCTAGGTCCCCGTCGACGTTGCTTCTGGGAATCCGCAGGGAACTCAATTGGTTCATCGGTGTTGTTCTGTTTTTGTTTCAAGTGGGCATTGGATGAGAAGAAATCCTTCCGTCGGGGACGGGCCAATGGAGGAGAGACATGAAAGTATTGGGTCTGCGGTCGCGTAGGAAGCCGTAATACTGGGGCTTTGCAGCTCAAGCAGACATATGGCCTGGCGAACATTGCGTGTCTGAGGAATAAAAACACCATTGGTTTAGTCGATGACATCGTTTTGCAGCCCGCGGCCCGATAACCCCGCTTAGTCATGGAACCAAGCTCGGGGCCCTGACCTACCCCGGCTCAACTGTAGAACCACAGAACCCCGTTTCCAGCTTGTCGCATTCCACTTTAACCAGCTCGGGAGCTGCAGGTGCTGAGAGGGATTCGCCATGGACGCGCCTGGCGCGATATCGCCGGACGAAAGTGCCGTTCAGAGCACTCCCAAGCACGACACATCCATACGAACCAAGTCACCGACAGACACGACTCAAGGCGCCCAAGATAAATACCAACGATACAATGACCACAGTTCCAGTAGCAGTGATGAAGGGGAAGAAGAAGAGGAGGCCGAGGGAGAGGATGACTCGGACGACGAGGACGAGGAGCCCCGCCTCAAGTACGCATACCTTACGAAGCACCTAGGATCAGTATATCGCAACGGGGATGCGACAAGCTCGTTCCTTGTAGCAGGAGATAAAATGGTATGCATCCTTAGCAAAACATATACTGTATAATGAGCTAATGATGTGCCTAGATCGTCGGGACACACAACGGAAACGTCGTAAGTTAGCCACACCAGCGCGCAGACATATGAGCTGACCTTGTCAAGCATGTTATGTCCTTGCCGCTTCTACAATCCCTCCGTGTATATCACGCACACTCAGCAAGTGTCACCTCGATATCGATATCGCCATTTCCACCTCCGCTCCCGAATCCCAGGCAAGACACCTTCAGCAAGCAGACCGCAGAGGAATACAGACCATCCACGCGATCATCTAATACCACCGGCAGTCTCCGTGGCCAAGGAAAACTGGGTAATCACCCAGCTATCCCTCCCATACCATCGAACTCGATTTACATCGGAACCTCCTCAATTGATGGCCATGTGTGTGTCTCGTCGCTGGTAGACCCGAAGGATGTGATATTGCGCAATTTTGGCCGCCCAGTTCAGTCAATCGCTTTGTCTCCAGAGTACAAAAGCGATCGGTCATTCCTATCTGGTGGCCGAGCGGGTGAACTGGTCCTGACAACTGGCGGTCGTATTGGAGCGACCTCCAACTCGACAACAATGGGGGGTGCGGCGGCCACAGCGTCAAGTTGGCTTGGATCCATGGGTCTGGCAGCCACTAGTGGAAAAGATACAATTATCCACAGCGGTGAAGGGACTATAAGCACGATTAAATGGTCGCTTTCGGGAAATTATGTGGCCTGGGTCAACGAGGAAGGCATCAAGATTATGCGGTCAAATTTGCATCTAGATTCTTCGGAGACGGAATTTGCCTGGAAACGAATCAGCCATATTGATCGTCCAAATCGTCCCGGCTGGGATGAAATGGCTGGTGTTTGGAAAGCACGCGCAGAATGGATCGACCAGTCTGCTTTGGACAGTCGGGACCATCTTGATCCAAATGACAACTCAGCCAGTCCAGAGATACAGTCGACAGTGTTCACCGAGAAAGTGGAAAAGCTTGTCGTCGGCTGGGGAGGGACTGTTTGGGTAATTGATGTCTACCCCGAAAGGGCAAGCAAAACATCAAAGGGCGAGAAATTGGGCTCTGCAGAGGTTGTTACAATGTAAGCTGGAACCCTCACGGGTTGAAACGTTCATCGCTAATTTTGAACACAGATTACGAACAGATTGCGTGGTATCTGGCATCTCATTGTACACGCCTCGTCTTCTTGTCATTCTCGCATATATGGAAACCGAAGGTGAAACTGCAAGTAACGGAAAAGGCAGTGGGACCCGAAATCGAAAAAAGGGCCTGGAACCTGAACTTCGTGTCATTGACATTGAAACCAATGAAGAAGTCAGTGCTGATACACTTTCAGTAAATCGGTTTGAGGGTCTCTCGGCGTCTGATTATCATCTAAGTGTCTTGCCTCCGTGGAAGACCCCAGAGGGACAGGTCGTCCAGCGTGGTGCCCTGGGAGCTCTTGGGTATGGGCTTTTGGATGCCACTATGTACTCTGCGCGGCTATTCAGCTCCGGCGCCAGCATCCGAAGTACCACAAGTAGTGGCGACAAGGGGTCTGGTAGAGTTGCTCCCTCTTTCATATCCAAACTCCACGCGGCTGAGGAGGCCCTTCCGAAGGAGGTACAGGAAGTTGCAGGTGCTCCTGGCGCCAAGATCTTTGTCCACAGTCCTTATGACTGCGTTGTTGCAGTAAAAAGGGATCTTGCGGACCGTTTGTCTTGGCTTGACTCTCATGGCCAGTACGAGGACGCATGGCGTCTCGTCGATGAACATCCCGAAGCTGCGGGCTCGATACCTGATCTAGCCGAAGTTGTTCCCGAGGCTGCAGGAAAGTCTCAAACCAGTTTAGGCGAATTCTTTGCTGATGATCGATCATCTATCATGACGGCTGGTCGAACCAAAGTTTCTGCTGCTGAACAAGAAAAGGCTCGCATTGGGGAACTTTGGATCAACCAACTTATCAGTGAAGAGAAGTGGGTTGACGCTGCTAGTATTTGTGGCAAAGTCATCCGCAATGCCACACGATGGGAACACTGGGCATGGACCTTTATCAAAAATGATAAAATCGACGAGATCACTTCGCAAATCCCGGTTGACTTAAATCCATCGTTGTCTTCTCGGATTTATGAAGCCATTCTCCTTCACTATGTGCCACGAGACCTGGCCAAATTCAAAGAACTCATCGGAACATGGCCATCCGATTTGTTTGATGCGAATGTGGTCACAGAAGCCATCGAAGAACAATTGAAACCCGAATCAGCGCGCGCCGGGTCTGAAGAGTGGCGAATCCTTACAGATTGCCTCGCTAAGTTGTTCCTGGTAGGAGGGCATTACCGCGAAGCCTTGCGTTGCTATATTCGATTGCAAGATGGAGATGCTGCTATGGCTTTGGTTCGGGAACACCGCTTGCTCGATGCAGTCACTGATGATATCCCGGCCTTCATTATGATTCGCGTTTCCAAGGAGCAAATGAAGTCAGCCACGAAATCCGAACTGGAGGAGTTGACATCTGAGCCCACGCGACTCCTTGTAAGCGAAGCATACACGGGCATTGTTCCCCCAGAGACCGTGGTATCTCAGTTGATCGCCACAGACCGGTTCCTGTTCCTTTATTTCTATCTCCGAGCGCTCTGGCGAGGCGAATCATTACCGCACGACGCCTCTAAGCCAAGAAGAGGACGTGGAACTCATGCCCGGGATGCAGCTAGCAAGCTTGCTGCTGATGAAGGCAAAGCCTTGATTGACAACTTTGCCGACACGGCCGTTGAAGTATTTGCCGATTACGACCGGCCTCTCCTGATGGAATTCCTCCAAACAAGCATATCTTATTCATTCGAGAAAGCCACATCCATCTGCGAAGACCACAAATTCACGCCAGAGTTGATTTTCCTCCTGTCCAAGATGGGCCAGACGAAGCGAGCCTTGAACCTGATTCTATCGGATCTCAAGGATGTCTCGCAGGCCATTTCATTTGCAAAATCACAGGAAGATCCTGATCTGTGGGAGGATCTACTTGATTACTCCATGGACAAGCCAAAGTTCATCCATGGTCTTCTTGTTGAGGCCGGAACGGCCATCGACCCGATAAAGCTTGTGCGTCGGATCCCGAGCGGGCTGGAGATTGAAGGTCTAAGAGAGGGCCTCACTCGCTTGATCCGTGAGCATGATCTGCAGGCTAGTATCAGCCAAGGCGCGGCCAGGGTCATGCATAGCGAAGTTGCACTTGGGATGGACTCGCTGCGCAAAGGTCAACGCCGGGGAATCAAGTTCGATGTCGCCGAGGCTAGAGAGGAAGATTCCAACAAGACACCGACAACAAAGACCCGAGCCCAAGACCAAATATCCGTGAGCAGTGGTGCGAGAAAATTCGGAGGTCCTGGACAGGGAAGATGCGGCGGTTGCAAGGCTGCCTTCCGGGAAAACGGTATGATTTTTGACCCAACTCTATTCCATATTTTATCCTCAGGGGAAAAAATCAAGCTAATAATAACCCTGCTACAGAGCGAGAAATCCTGGTTGGCTTTGCTTGTGGCCATATTTTCCATCTATCTCACTTGCACGCAGACAAGTCACAGCAACCATCCGGTACGAACAGCCGTAACCGATCTGCAGATCTTACTCCACGAGCCATGTCTCCAGTCGACGAGACTCGATCCCCCACTGCGTCTCGCACCGTTGGGCCCAAGGTCACGACAGCAAGAATCCTGCGAGACAAGATCGGTGATGGTTGCCGGATCTGTGCTATAACCAGAGACATTGAATCCCTTGGTGGTGAGGTTGAGGTTTGAACTCTGTTGGGGTAGGGAGATCTGTACCCATTCACGTCTGTCCTGTGTGTATACTCCATGTGCACATAACTATGCATTCTCCTTGTTTCTCTGAGATACCCTGGCTTTTAGCCAAGCTACTGTACCCGTTTGTTGGGGATATTCGGCATTCATCCATTCTGTGAGGTTATCAAACTGGGCATTATTCATTTGATAAAGATGTGTGTTATGTTCAATGCTTTGACTTCTGACTACATGCGCATAAATATTACGTTCTGTTTATCTGTTTATCTTTAACATTTGTTTCACAGCTGGAACATAGCTGCCCGAATGCACTGTTCGGTCAGTTCTTCATCCTTAGACTTTCTATTTGGTTGTAGACCACAGATTACAAGATCGTTTGATCTCTTCATTACGGGTATAACAAATAGTGAACATTCTTGAAATTAGGAAAGCTATGCTTTAACTAGAAAATGAAGTCACTGATAAAAAATTGCAAGATTAAGGGGAGCCAGTTGCATCCCATAAAAAACAAACGGTCACCCATCAACACCATGGGGTCCTCAAATTCCATCGCAAACACATTCGTCGCATCAGGTACTATCCTTGCTACATCAGAAGATGGCTAGACCTGCCTCCTGACACGGTAAGAGTGTGTGGCGTTCTCACTGAATCCAGTGGATGATGTGAGAGAGCATAATCAAAAAGCTCATGGTAAAGAGACGGCTGTCCATGATTCCAGCGACATTAGCACTGTTGAAAACAGGAGAGGGGCTGTGAGTGCCACTGGAAGAAGTGCCACGAGGAGATGGTGGGACAGTATCCTCCTGGGTGTGGCTAGGCTGTTGCGGAGGCACAACCGAAACCTTGGATTCGGTTGTGGTACCCTGCTGAGCAGGAGGAACAGGAACCTTGACCAGAGTGGTAGCCTCCACAGTGGTGGCGTGTGGGAGTGGGACCAACTCAGTCGGCACGATCTCGGTAGTCACCGTGTGGGTGGGAGCCTGCGGAACTGGAGCAGGAACAGTTGGCTGAACCACAGTAGTTATAACCGAGGTAGTTGTCTGTGGAAGGGCACCAGGGGCAGTGGGCTGGATAACCGTGGTCACAACTTTGGTGGTATCCTGTGGAATGGGGACGGGAGCAGTGGGCTGAACAACAGTGGTTACAACCAAGGTAGTCGTCTGTGGAAGGACACCAGGGACAGTGGGCTGGATAACCGTGGTCACAACCTTGGTGGTCTCCTGTGGAATGGGGACGGGAGCAGTGGGCTGAACAACAGTCGTCACAACCTTGGTTGTTTCCTGCAGAGGGGCACCAGGAACAGTCGGCTGGACCACAGTGGTCACTACCTCAGTGATGGTCTGTGCAGCAGGAACTGTAACCGGAATTGGGGTCACAGAGATTGTGGTAGTCTCCACCGGGGTGGTGGTGGTGTACACCCTGGTGCTGATGCATTTGGTGGTCTCAGTGCAAGGGATCTCAACCGTGACAGTGACCTCTTCAGTGGCAACCGGGACAGGAACAGTAACGGGAACTGTCGACTTGATCTCAGTGGTTGTAGTGGCATTTGGAGCAAGAGCCGGAGCAGTTGTCTCTGAAACTGGCAGGGTGGTGGTGGTAAGCACCTTGGTGCTGACACACTTGGTGGTCTCGGTGCAAGGAACCTCGACGGTGATAGTGATTTCAGTGGTCACTGGAGCAGGAGCCAGCTCAGTTGAGTTGAAGCAAGGAGACGTAGTGTAAAAAGTGGTCACATCAGTCACAGTGCTAGGAGCCAGGAGAACAGTTGAGTTTGTGTAACTAATTCCAGTAGTACCGGGGACAGGAACAACCTTGGTAGGACGAGAAGATATAATGGACCCAGTAGTTACTTCAGAAGCAGTTCCAGGAATCTCGGTGGTACCAGGAACAGGAGCCACACCGGTAGGATTGGGACTTGTTGTCACCTCAGTAACAGTACCGGAAACTGTGGAAGTGGTGTGGTCCTCAGCAGTGGTGGCAGGAACAGGAGCCAAGCTGGTAGAGTTAGGAGCAGATGAAGAAACTGACTCGGTGACAGTGGCAGAGGATCCAGTGGTATTGGTTACCGAGCCGCTTCCAGTGGGCACCTCGGTAGTACTGGGCACTGGGGTCCGAGTAGTTCCGGGCACTGAAGACTGCGAGGTCACCAAAGTGGTGCCAGGCGCAGGAGTTTGTGTTGTGCCTGGTGCAGAAGACTTTGTGCTCACTTGAGTAGTTCCGGGAACAGGACTCTGAGGACCAGCAGGTACAGATGACTGAGTGGTCGCCTCAGGAGTGCTGGCCACAGGAGTCTGAGAGGAAACCGGTGCAGTCGACTGAGAAGACACCTCGGGGACGCTGGACACAGAAGTCTGAGTGGGAACAGGCACCGTGATCGAGGAGGTAACAGGCACAGTAGACTGAGACAAGACAGGCACAGGGGTAGTGACCTGAGCAGGGACTGGAGTAGTGGACTCGAGTGTGGTTGAATGGTCAGTGGTGCAGGGAACATCTGTGGTGACAGTTGTGGTCGGTTCCTCGTGACCGCAGGTCGTATGGGTGATAGTAACAGTGACTAGTATCAAGTTAGTTCTTAGCCTGAGAAAGGAGAAGGAAGTGAAAAATCCCCGTATAGAGGACGTGGAGCCTGGACTTACTCAGGTCAGAAGCGTGAACAGCACGACCAAACAAGGCGCGAGGCAAAACATTGACTATGAAATTTGATCAGTCAAGGTAAATTTCAAGGTGGACTGAGACAGTGAGCTTCACTTACCCTCACCAATCTGGTATTGCTCCCCGGTGTGGGGGTCCAGAAGGGAGATCGACTCGATGTATTGGCATTCTGCTCGATGACAAGGTCAGCAAGTGATCATAATGTAGCCAGTTATGAGCCATGATATGTACCAGCCGCAGCAGCAGCCATGGCCACCAGAGTGGTGACCATGGCCAGGAGCAACTTGAAACGCGTCCAAGCTACCATCCTGACGAAGATGGGGTTTGTAAGCGAATGTAGAGTTATGACTTGATGCAATAACCAAGTAATCGATGAAAACGAAGGTGAATGTAGAAAAAGGAAAACGAACGTGAAGTGGAAGAGGAGAAAAAAGCAGAGAAAAATCAGAGGGGGGAGGGAGGAAGAAATAGTAAACAAAGTCACCACCTGAGGAAGGAACGCTGCCCGTGAGGGAACACGTGAAGTTGCTGGTTTCTGATTATGTACCTTCCATATTTAAGCCAAACGTACAAGGAAGTCACGACTACCACTTTCGGCTATGGTAAGGTACTTGACAGGACCAGTACCCCTGGGATATAATTTGAGCACACCTCTGCGTGTGACTCGAATAGAACCTTAAACTGGATGCACCGGCAACCGTAGGCGTACAACCTGAGTGAGACAGTCTAAATCTATTTCATTGACTGAGGTGAATGCAAAATAAAAGACTCTTTGCCTAACATCGGGGGGTTTCGTTCAGTAGGATCATGCCGTGGGCTACAATAAAGGACTCTATATCCGGCTTTGGCACAGAGATCACCTTAAAACAAGCCTGATAGGAATTTTGGAAGAACAGAGCTATTTATATAAAGAGGCTGGGGTATCACAGACAAAGGTCTATGTGCCACATAAGCAAGACTACAAAGGCAAACGGACATAGCTCTGGTGTCTATTCGGGTCAGACCATAGACGTCCCGAATTAAGTTTGATTATAAGACAAAGTAGCAAGGATATTAACTTTTATGATCTTTGAAGTAACCATTATCATTGACATGACAACCTAGATTTAGGCCAAGACACTACGAGAAGGTAAAACGCAGAAGTGAGATATCTATCACTTGAGCCTTGGAGTTGTTGATTCTCAGCAAGTCTAGAACGTGGTTCTATTTTAACTTAAGCATCAGCCCTATATCAGTGCGGAGTATGGTCCATGCTATGCTGTCAAGTCAGGGGCAATGGTGACACGACTTAGGGCATGGTTTTATCATGTGAAATTGCAACAACATAATCACAACATAAGCAACCATGGATATGTATCATTTGAACCTTGTATACACAGTTTCAAGGTTGACAGTGAGAAAGATGACATCTAAATTAAGTGCAACGTCTACATAGTTCTGTAGACACACAGTACCCATAAGCAATGCCCAGCAAATCTAAATGCCCACTATAAAAAGCAACAGATGCCGATCACAGGCCCAGCCGGTAGATGTCTCCCTCTGGCAGAAGATGAAAAGAAAAAGGAAACCATCCAATTAAGGCAAATAATATTCCAACGTTCGGGATGATACGCTCTGGCTACAAACCGAAAAAATACTAGTGGATACAAATACATACACGGACGTATTTCCAAGACACTTGGTAAATTGGCGGTACGTAACCGAAATCCCCTATACCGGAAGGAGCGGTCACGTAACGGGACGACCCGCGCAGAAAAAAGCGAAAGTGGAAATAATTTATTTTGGCCCCGCTCCTCAGGAACTGGAATATGACATCATAGTGCTTGTGTGCGTCAAGTAGAAGTGCTGTGAATGTTATATATCTAATCTTTATAGATTTTAGAGTGTTAGTCAGTATCTACTAAGTTCAATAAGTACTATTATACAATAAATATGACCGGTACGCACACATATTTCGGCTGTACTCTTTTTCTCTACTCGGCACTCGTACTCGTTGCCACTAAGTTGATCCTTTCCCCTAACGGCATATAGTCATAATCCTCCACTCCACCCCACCTAAGTACATTCTTATTGCGCAAGGGAATAATCGTAGACAAAGTGCCGATTACATCTCTCCCAGTGGAAGTGATATTCAACGTCTGCAGCTATTGAAGCTGTTTGAATGATAAGCTCTCAGATTATCATATAACGCATTGTATAGCACATGGCTTGAGGGGTTCTTCGAATCAGTATTCAAAGAGCTTTTTTTTCATCATGACAAGCGATAGTCTGCGTGAACTGGAAAACCTCGCTAAATTGGATGGTATTTGGGAACGGGTCTAAGAGCTGTGGGTAATACTACCCCTGTTTGGGGGTTTCCATTTGGTTATACCATCAAATTAACGAACTGAAGGCTCATTATGTTATATATAAAGCTGTATTCGAAGATAACTCGACACTCCTAAGATCGGAAGCCTTTAGCACTACACTTCGAAGATACCTAGAAGGATTCGACAAGCTTAACACAATTGGACTTGCGTATTATGAAGTATATGTTGCTCGATCCATGACTTCGATTCCGACCTGGCGCTAATTAATAAGCGACTCAAACACGGGAGGTCATCGGCTCGCTTATATCATTGGCTTGCTTAGTGGATTACGCTAGGCACTTTAGGAGCAGCTATTTATCAGCACAATAAGATGGCGTGATTGTGATTGAACAATTTGTACGGAGTACTCCGTACTCCTCCAGGTAATCAACTGCCCTGGTTCCGACTCATATATTCAGAAAGTCACGACCCAATAACAAAATGGCATCGATTTTATCTGCACATGAAATCGGCGAAGGACTTCCCGTTTTGATCATTCATGGATGGGAGCTAAGTGGAAGAGCCGAGGAGCTCGACTTTGAGCCGATCTTCAACAAAACACCAGGACTTCTCCGTATTTACGTGGACCTTCCAGGCATGGGCACAACACCTGCCGATAATGTCAAGGATCTGGACGAGATATACCTCCGCCTTGTGCAATTCATTGATTCTCGAATTGGGAAGTCAAGATTCTTAGTTGTCGGCTCATCATGCGGCGGCTACCTTGCACGTGCGATAGCTCAAAAATATAATGACCAACTTGATGGTTTACTACTACGCGTACCACTTATTGAGCCAAAAGACAGCATGCGCGATCTTGATGCTTTCAGCCCCGTGGTTGCAAACGAACAAGTCATGTCGAACATATCAGACGAAGACAAGAAACTTCTTCGGAATGTTCTCGTTCAAACGCCTGCCTATGTTAAATCCCTTAAGGCCAAATACGAGGACGTCTACCTTCCAGCGGGGAAAGCAGCAGACAATAAGGTGTTGGATCCGATCCGAGCAGATCCAAATCGATATCAGTTATCTTTTTCGTTGGACAATGAAGATGCTAAGTTTTTTGCACCCACACTTGTTGTGTGTGGTCGGCAAGACGGAGTCGTGGGCTATCGAGACAGCCTTCGCTTGCTGGAGCTGTATCCACGATCAACCTATGTTGTTCTAGATCGTGGGACGCATGGACTTCCTATCGATGAGACTGGTCTTTTTGAAGCTCTTGTTCGGGATTGGATACTCCGGATTGATGAATGGCGGGCATCGCACGGACATACTTTGTAAGGGGCTAGCAGCTCGGGGAGACCCGAAACATCTGAGCTCATGCTGTTCAACTCCGGGGTGGGTCAGAAAACATTGACCGAGCGCTCCACAAAGTCAGCAAGGCTATTGAACTTCTTGCGTTTGTCATTTTAGATAGTTAGTTTAGAAAGTTGCATACCACTAGACAACGCATACATTGCTGTAAACCCAGATTTCTGTCACCTTTAGGAAGTGGATAGTATGTACGATGTTATTTGAAATCCATTGTTGGATAATCTTGTTGTAAACTCGGAAGTGTGTTTTTCATACCAAACAGAAAAGATGTTATATCAAAAGGCCTAGTAGGGGTCAAAATCTAATTACTGTATGTAGTCAGTCTAAGGTCTGTACCAAGGATTCACATACACATGACTAACTAGCACTGACTTCAATGTTGTTGCCTGAGAATAAGGGAAGACTAGGTGAATATGTAAATAAAAATGAATATTCGTTTCCCGATTTGGTTGGTAATCTAGGAGTACATCCATGGATACGATAACGAGATGAACCCAAATACTCGGAAATGTGGGAGAAGATCACAACGCAAAATAGATTATGATACATCTGCGGTGTAACCGATATTGAGCGTCGCAAGCCTAAATTACCAAAGAAGCAAGAAAAGAGGGGGTGAAGAAAAGTCGAAGCATGTACCATTCGATCTAGAACTAGGGATGTGCTCGATCTGGAAAGTCGCCTCGATATGGAATACGCCCGAAACTGGGACCCAAGGGAAGACTCCCGATCCCGAAACCCAACTGAGCATTGGTTGGCTAACAGGTTGGGGGAGGGACCCATCCAATCAGGATTATTACGTAGACCCGAAGCAGCGGTCCTTGGGACATCGGATCTTCACTGAACCATAGTGACGTCGGGAGGTTTTCAACGGCCGTGCCCTACCAAATCCCTGGGAACTAGGGATTGTGTCCACGGGTGTTATGTTGACTTTTTTTTGTCATGTGGCTGCGAAAGCCACAGTCTGTGTTCCGCTGGGTTTGATGTGGAATAATTTGTGGGCCTTGAGGCGTTCATTATTTCTTTTTCTTCTTTTTCTTTTCTGCCTGCTCGGAACGACCAACCCAATCTGGGGGGTTGGCGAGTGTCAATCATGCTCGGTTAATGGCGGTCAATATTAAGCACTAATGACCAAACGCATGATTGTTCCAGGGTTCTTCTAAGGTGCCAAGGGTTGCATGGCTGTTGGTGGCTTTATTGGTGTTGATGGGTTTTGACAATCGAGTATTAGAGATGTCCTATGCTCGAGAATAGAATACGGCTTTTACATAAAGATCATAATTGAGGTAACAAGGTCATCGTATTCTGCACTTGCATCAGAGTGGCTGACTTGTAGTCCCGGGCTCAGGTGACTATCTATATCAAATGATCCAAATCCCCGTATATGTGCACACTTGACATAAAACGTGGATAGATCGCAGAAAAAGTCGAACGCTCAAGGCTGGTTAAAACCAGCAACCAACAAAAAAGAAAAAAAAAAGAAAAAAAGAAAAAGAAAAAGGGTTAATGTCGAATGAAAAGATCTGGAAAATCAAACATGGAACAGGGTATCAACGTCGTATGCTCGGCCCTCGACCAGATCGAAATCATAACCATCACAAACAAACAAAGATATTAATCGTTCCATATCCCACTGACTCATATACCGTCGCAGTGGGTAAGCAACGCTAAGCTTAAACAAAGAGATGTTAGAAGAAAAATTCAAAAAACATAATATAACAGGGTATCGTTGCTCGGAGACTCGTTTATTATCCCCGTGTTCAGCGCCCCGTAGGGAAACAAAAAAATGAATGCCAGCCCATTGAAGAAGGAAATTTGAAAACACCAAAACGACAAGACCAGTGCAGCCGATGCACTCAAAATGGATAGTTCGTGTACTGCAGACCAGAGTGAAGAGACCACAGTGGCTAGCGAAGTGAGATGAGGCGAGTCGAAGGGGAGAGTTACTTTTGCATTATGTTCGAATTTGGGAGGCGAAGGCATGGCGTTGAGATGCATTCGATGCGGGTTTAATAAGTTAATTGGATCTCCATGGGGGATCCGGGTGTGCTGGAAGCACTGCCATTGGGACCTGGTGCTTCGGAGATATCGACGATCATGTCTTGACCCTCTGGAAGCTGGCGGACCACATCGTCATCAACTATGACTCGCATGCCTTTATCATGGGCATGCATGATATTTGAGATTCGCATGGGATCGATGTGATATTTTTCGGTGATTTGTCTCACGAGGTCTTGAACGGTACGTTCCGTCAGATAGATTGCACGGTAGTAATCCTCCGAGCGGTTCTCATTTCCAGTGAATCGAACATAAAAGCATGCAACTGCAAAGTTAATCAGTGGGGATATCAAGGATTGGTCTGCGCTCGAAAAACTTACCTGGTTTGGGAGGGCGTTCCGCCGGAGGTCGGTAGGTCAAGTCTATACCCACAGCCTCTATGAAACCCCTTGAGACTTGGTTGGCAGAAGGAATCCTCTGGATAGTGGTTGGGCACTTTGCTAATCTGAGTGCTTGGGTAGGCGGCGAATTCGAAGAAGAGGTATTGGTGTTGGGCGGTGAAGGCATTATTGACTCCAATTCACGTGTGCTTGAACGACTGATATTCGTATAGTGAGGGGAATCGCCCTCTCCTGGTAGCTGAATAGGATATAGGTCGGGATCATCGAATTTTTCACCGCGTAAGCCGAAAACGCTCACTGAGCGGGTAGATGAGAACATCTCTTGCATCATAGACAACTTGGCTTGAAGATCATCCTCCAAGGAGACTTTCTCTGGAGGAATATCGTCCGAGCCTATCGACCAAGTTCGCTTGTGGGCCGAAGGCTTCATAGGGTTGTCAGATCCCTTTGCGGTAGCAGAAGCGTTGTTTCCCCGCTTGCGCTTCGCGAAGCCACCACCCATTTCTGCCTGGGACACTTGCTGCTTAAGCTTATCAATACTCTTCTTGACATGCGCGATGTCGTTGGACAGCTTCCGCTCAGCACCGTGATCCCGGAAAAGCTTTACTTTGCAGTAGGACAGTTCCATATCGCGCGATACACCTGACTCCTCGCCCGGTGACAAAAGCTCGGTTTTGGCGCACAGTCTGACAGGGATTCCCTTCACACCTTTTGAATGGCTGAAATCTGTGGAAAGGAAATTGAACCGCACGGGAATGTTGCAATCCGATGCGCCGGTCGTTGGGTTGGCAGTCCAAGTGACGCAGAAACCGTCGACTGACATACTCTCCACTTGCACCTGTCGATTTCTGTGTGCATCACTGCCACCTTGTAATGGATCCACATATTCAACGGCTAGTAATTTTCCTCCCCGTTGATGGGCTTCCGTGGTACCACGGCCTTCCTTCCATAGTTGCCAGCATGTTGACGGCTTCGCTCGTTGCTCTCGCTCTTCGAAGGAAACGCGGACGAATGTTCTATAGCGGATCGGTTCGTGGTTGACCATTGGTGGGTTCGTGTCGATAACTGAGAGATTGTATGCTTGGCCCTTATTGAGATAGGTCACGGGAATTTCGCTCAGGTTCTTTACCATGGCGGTCGGTGCTCGTAGTGAAACATTGAAGCGGAATCTATAGTGTGGTAGAACGCGGTTAGCATTCAGTAAAAATGTTCCTTTCAAATCATTGAACTCACTTTTCACCCTTGGTATAGGACATGTCACCAGCCATTTGAGCCGAAAAGTCCGTAGAGGCCGTCACGCTAGATGCTGTTTCGACATGTACATCATTTAAAGAAGAGTCATCGAGAGTATCGTCCATGGCGTCATATCCGGTGTCGCGGTGCATGAACGCGCTTGGTGCATATGACGACTGTTGTGTGTATAGGTTCATGTCATGTACTGGATTCATGAACTGTGGGTGGAAAGGCTCAAAACCATTGCTGTGATGATTGTGTACAGGGGGCATGCCCGCCAGCGGGGTCATCAAGTGCATGCCTGTTGAGTATGCAAATCACCGGCCTGATTATGAAACATTGCACCCATTCCAGAAGAATTTGGAGTATAAAAGCCTGTATGCTGGCTGGCGAGAGGCATCATGGAATATGAAGCGGATTCCATCCATGAGGGCGTCAGCCCCAATTCGTGCATATTTCGGGGAGTGCGGTCGTTGTTGGTGATGGGAAACTTGATATCATGACTGTCCATTTTCACGTCGTTGTTCTCGGCCATTCTAGCAAGAATTTTTTGTCAGTTCTATTGTCATACCTTTGGCCTAGTGAAATACATGATGTGCATACCTTGGGGCCATCAAAGGTTCACCTGCCCTCACATTGTGCAAGTCTTCAGTTGACCGACTCGCGCTATCTCGCCGAGGGACAACATCCGAAAATGTTTGCTGGAAGCGACTGATGAACTCACCATCCGGCTTCTGAGTGTTTCTCCTGTTCAGCAAAAAGAATCCATTAGAAAAGAGTTCAGTATGATATTGCCAAATCAAGCGTGAGAAACCCACCGGCTGTTAAACATTATTTATTTTATCAATGCTTTGCTTGACCCGGAATAGTTTAGGATATGAAAGATACAAGATATTGCTAACAGTGAATTGTGGCCCACTGCCAGTAGGGTTGGATGAGCTGTCTGGTCGGTTCCACGAGATTGAGGAGTGTTCGAATGTCGTACACAGTGCTGGATATGTTGAGATTGTGCCAGAGCCCGTCAAGTGAAAGGTTCTAAAGGAATTTCGATATGCGCAAATGACTAAATCAGTGTGAAGATGAAGTACACCAGAAACGGAAGGTCGCGGGAGTAGATCAAAATGGTGAAGGTAGATAAAGTATAAGTCCAAAACAATTGCTGAAAATAGCAACGGAGTATGTTTCCTTCTTATAGGAGATTGGAGGAAACGATGTATAATTGGAGAGACGAGGGGTGGAAGGAGGGGAGATGACGATGTTTAAAGGGAGGGGAGAATGGAAAGGAATAGTAAGGATGGTACGGTTAATGAAGCCCTCCAATGAAAGATGTATAAGAGATCCCACAAAACTGTCACTGAGCCACAGTGGACTTTTAATAAAAAGGGGGGTCCATTGGATGTGCTCGGAAGATTTTAGGAGATGATCTCGGGAGGGAGGAAAGCTGTTGCCACTTGGGAGAAACTGATAAGAACAGGGGGGCCACTTTTATGGTAAGAGGCGTTTTTTTCTTTTTCTTTTTTCTTTTCTTTTTTCTCTTCAAAAAGATCTCAAAATGGGTTGAACTACCAAATAAATGATATATATAATGGCATGGATAAGATGATTGGTAAAGAAAAATAAATTATGGAGAAAACCATCAAGGGCAGTTACCGAGCTACGGAAAGCCGTGCAGGTATGGGGAAAACCAAAAGCGAGAACGAAGTTGTAAACTTACGGTATCATATTTCGTGATTCCTTAACTAATACATAGTACGGTTCCTATTTTGGATACAATATAGGGACATATTGGATGGTATAATTCACCACAATAAATGGTTATAGTTATGTATCTTATTCTTCTTTTTCAACCAGGAAATATTCCATATTTAGTATCTGTATAGTTCCCGCAATACATGATCTATGGTCCGGGTTAATTTACATCCCAACATCATGTAGTATGAAGTTTTCAAAATACTTCATATCAACGGGTACTTGGGAGGGAACTTTGGAAGCATTTCACATTTCCATTAGGTAATATAACTTACTTTCCCAGGTGGGTTGACAATTCCATCCATGGATGAATGTGCTATTTAGGGTACTATGTACTTTTGTGCATGTAACGTTTGTGGCCTTGTCCTAAGACTATAACCATCATTCGTTGTTCGAGGCTTCAGATGCGTCAACACTACAGCCCTATATCTAAAGACTGACCTCATACCAGTGTGTACATTGTACAACATACAAACTACTTTAGCCGTGAAGGAGTGTGGACCTGTGAATATCTGGTGGTCAGGCGTGATAGGCGGCCGGCCCGACCGGATCTGCATTCAAACTGATATTGTTCGGTTGATCATGAGATTTTCCATTGGAATCCATTGGTTGAGCCCTGGAATCTATCAATTGAGATCAATTACGTGCTGCCTAAAACATTTAGATCTATGTTGATGATCTCATCGTCGGTTTCTCGCGGCTCAAGGAGACCCATGAATGGAGATTATTGAAAGATGGTTTCTCCCATATATTGTGTTGTACTGCGTTCAAACTGCAGCTACTGGGGTATATTATAATTTACATATGTCGTATTATTTTTTTTAAACTAATTTGTCTATCAACCGTGCATGGTCTATAATAGCCATTGCTTGATTTATACTTGGGCGGTAACTAGGTATGGAATGTAAGGCATGTGCCATCGATACAATAAAATCAATAAAATACAGCCACTTGATACCATGTCGAAACAATACCGGTCAAACACAGCTCATTGCTGGAAGGACCACCCACCAGTAAGATTGCTCAATTTATGCTTGAATGATCGGCAGAGCACGTGCTGTAAATTTGCATACGTGGATACATCTACATTGAGTACAAGGTATGTACCTTGTACCTTACTCAAGCCTCTCAATTTAAGTTATTGAAGCTTAAGCACAGAATCCTTCCATTTCCAAAACTTGTAAATTACTAGATTAACGTATGAAGCTAACCCCCAGGCTCACGGGCTCACATCCAGGGTACACAAACACGCTTAATATCATAAGTACAAATATAACCGAACGGCTTCCCCACCTACATCACCTCGTACAGTAAGAGGATTTTATTGTTCGTCATTGACACTCTCCCCACTTTTTTTATATTTTGCGTGAAAAAAAAAAAAAAAAAAAAAAGCCAAGGGTCCAATTAGAGCTAATGTAACGGTATTTCTTCTGTGGTTTCAAATTTACAAATTTATTATGCTAGCAGTAAAAGCCACGCGATCATAAGCAGACGTTTTCGGTGACATGACAGCGGGGAATAGATGGGCATGGGTGGGCTAGACGCCAACGGGTGCGTTGGAAAGGCCACATCAACAGTTGAGACAAACCCTCCCCCCTCCTTTCCCCAAAAGTCTGGAGTGTAAGTACTCCGTATTCTAATTTGGGTTATTATATATTTCATTGGAATCAATCGGAAACGACACCTGTATAGAATATACGGTCGATCATTGGCCGATCTAAAATTGATAGGAGTACCAGGATATGAGCTACTACGCCACAATAAGTACAAAGTACAGAATATGTTGTACAATCCAAATATGTTGTAAAGTTCGTCGGAACATAGCGCGGTTACATCATTCGGACAGGGGTATATTAATAATTGATAATTGAGCTTCTCTAATCCGTATTCCGTAACTAAATTGTACAACAGGGGTGTATGTATGGACAGTTGGGCAAGCGTTTAGTGGCGCGAGTGAGTAAGCGGCTGAATTCTCCACCCTAGATAAATCCACACCTAACGCCGAACAAATAGAGAAATAAGACCCTCCAAAAAAACGAAAAGTTAAATCCCTACTCCGTATATACGTTGTAGATCGGCAATTGGGAGAGGGGCCGATCTACCCTGGCTTGCAGTGGTGGATGCTGGTATAGCCAGTTAGGCTAACAAATGGCCTTGCCACCTAGGTCTCAAGCATCCAGAGCTCTTCGATAAATGAAATTGCCCCAGCACAGCTTACGCAGCTTTGCATCCAGCCACAAGAATTTCCCCCATTCTAATAATACGTGGGGTTCCACTTGTGCTCGGTTTAAGCACGAATGAGATGTTCGTAAGTTGTACTAATGCGCTCTATGACGGGGCTCATAATACATTTGTACCTATGAAAGTATCCAACGTTCCCCGCGGGCCCCGGCCCGAGCTCATGAGGTTCCGAGATATGACGAGTTCTGTCCCGAGAGATTGGTGGTGGCCACCTTGTGCCGTCCCTTCTTTCGCTCCACAAATAACGGGGAGATCGGTCCTTGTTGGGATTGGCTGGCTAATGTTTCCGTTTAGAATGACAACGAGATCATAGCAACCTAGAAAGTATGTAGATCGTAGGGCTGTACGGAGTACATTGTACAATCAACGATCAACTGAATATAGACTTCCTCTACAAGGGCATTGGTATATTGCATATTGTCAGATTCCATCATCTACTTTCAGCTTCAACAATCTCAAATCACATTGTACCATGCATTTCGACGCCTCTGTAGTCTTCTCTTCACCATTGTAGGGATTGTTATTTTCGACCATGGATCGAGATCTCTAAATATGGCTTAGCCTTATCTTCGGCTGCTTGCAGACAGTATCCTAACTCCCTAACCGTTGGGGAGACAATTTGAACAAATGTGATAACCTTTGGATCCCTCGAGCACTCTGGCTATGGAATGTAATTCTGATCTATATCTATCTATCTACTCGGAAGAGTCACCTAGCCTGTCTGTACTCAGCAGCTACTCTATTACCACAATATGGTGTTGTTTTTATATCTTGCACATTTCGCATTTGTTTACTCTTGGATCGTGATTCTTGAACATTGACCGTGGTTTCATGACATTACCCTATATGAACTATCCAACCAATATGAATGATGTCCTCTTTACAAAATGATCCGGTAATGCTGTGGCCACCGGTATGCTCAGCGATTATTACTAAGTGTAGTTCCATCCACCCGGAACTTGTATCGACCGCGTCTTAAGGTCGAAGAAAAAATCACCATGCATACATGCAACCCTAACACGCCCATGACGCCGATGTGTGACAGAAAATAAAACAGAAGAAAACATATAGACACAGACAAAATCCGACAGAACCACGCGTATGTAGTGGCCAAGGGCCGATTCTGGGGTGCGGGATTGTCTGTTCCCAGATTAGGGATGAAAAGAGGGTAAAAGATGCAAGAAAATGCAAGGCTGAGTAGCCGTTCAAAGGAAATGGAGGAAGAGGATGTCCTGCAGTCATTTGTAGTCCACCATGCGGTACGATGATTAACCAGAGGTTTGGCTAGGTTCGAGCATGGACATGAGGATGAGGAGCTCCAAGATCTGGAGGAGAAGGAAAAAAGGAAGGAAGGAAGGAAGGTAGTAGACAGCGAATGGCTATCAGTGCTGGATGATCAATGAGAAACCATCGATCCATGATGCACAGGAGCCGGAGATTCCAGCAATCTTGTAGCCCAAAGGAGGTATTAAAGTGTGGCTGTATAAAGTTGGTTAGCGTGCTGCAAATTTCGCGGGAAAAAAGAAGAGAATACATACCCTGAGCCACCGGCGGGATTTCCATATATACCGGATTTTCTTCCAAGGCTCGTGAGAATTTCGATCCCATCAATCCAGAGACCAGCCCGGACATAGAACCCAAGCAGAATTTCACCGCGTCGAGTATCAAGGACAAACTCATCACCACCAGGTTTGCCTCCTCGCTTGCCGAAGAGCTGACTGGTCGCGTCCTCGTAGTAGAACTCGATACCATCCACTGCATAGCCATGGTAGACTTTGATCGATGTCAGGAGCTTTGTTTTGATGAAGGCACATTCCAGTAACACCTGCTCTGGCTCACTGCCTTCCATCGCCGATTGGCCTAATTTGCCGCTTTTGAACCCAGACTGGCTTTTGGGTAACTTGACTAGAGAATTTTTGGATTTCAGATCGCCAATGTTCTCAACAGTGTAGCTGCCTAGTGCACCAGAGTAGACGACCAGACGGATGTTCTTTTTCTTTTCCTTTTCGGTACCATACACACGTTGGCGAAGCTCGACCTCTGTCACGGCGACTTGTCGTGGCAATCCGTTGGGGCTTGACTCGCTGTTCAAGTATTCAATGAAGTTGTGGCAGAAGGTATCACCCTCAGCATATAGTTCGATGAATGCAATCCCCGACGACGCAGTGAACAATATCTTGCCATTCTCGACTGGCCAGACCTGCACGCTATCGTCCGAAGTGGGAGAAGGGTCACTTGGAAGTCGGAAGCTGGGGTGGAATCGGAAGCGTAGCGCATCCAGGCGGTGCCAGCTACACTCGTCGTTGGGCAGACACACTTTCAACCCTTGAGCCTTGGTGCGTGTTGAGAAAGGCTCTCGGGTCAGGAATGTTCTGTTCAAACGCACATAGTCACGAAGCATGACTCCTGACTCCTGGTGAGGACATCCGAAGAGATGGCCCACCTCGTGCAGGTGAGCACCGATGCCCAAGTTTGCTGATTCCCAATTGGAGCCCGCCTCGCCACAGTCATTGGCGACGTAGTTCGTATCCGTGCGGGTACAGTCTGTAAACGCATCCACGACTTCTTCCAGGCATGACGGATAGCTTTGGAGACAATGAGACCCGAACATGGCCATTTTGATATCGTCATCGGCCGAACCTAAAGCTGCATGGCCGGTGATCATCTGGGATTGGGTATCCCAGTGAGAATCGAGGAGGAGAACGGAGACGTATTGCTTCTGGCCGGGCTGAGGCTGGAAATGGTTTCGCACTGCTTCTTTAGCAATGGCGAACAACTCGTCTTTCTTCTCGGCTTTCTCGTTCTGCTGGGCGATATTGAGATCTCGAAGTTCGGCCACTGTTTTCTCAGTGCGAACTACATGAATCTTGGCCTCATTCCGCATCTGGCCATGGGCCAAGTCACGACGGCTCAAGCTACCAGACTGCCATTCCTCCTCGAATCGGAAACAACGCCGCCCGAAATTATTGCGGAACATCTGTTCACCAGTGAAGGCCTGCCAGAGATAGGCTGCCATTCGGTACTTTCGAATCGCCATTTCCAACCCATTTCCTTCGCGCTCTATCCTTTCCGGAACTGCATCGTATGTGCCATCTGAATCCTTCCCCAAGAGGATGACCAGCTGCAATGGCGGGTTGTTGACTAGGGGAAGGTAGTTGATACAGATCCAGGAGGAGTGGATGGCGGGGTGGGTGCTGCCTGTGGATAGTTTGGGCGAGACAAAGTCAAAGCGAAGGCGATTAGGACCTGGAACTAGATGAACGAGGACTTTAAAATGCGATGCCGTGACTGGCCAGCAGGTCGACGGGAAATTATCTTGGTGGTGGTAGACGGTAACATTTCCGTCCAGCGGATGTTGCCTTGGGTCGCCGATTTGACCATACACAAGTAGCACTTTCTGGTTGACCTGGAGGACAGTCAGACACTCGATTCCATTTCACTAGAGACCATTATGTCCAATTCGTGTGCTGGCAGGCAACATACCCATGAATTATCAGCCACAGAGACGAGTCTCGGGGCGTAAGGTGAGACGGGAGCTTGTGATCGGTACGCGCCATTGACAGAGGACGAGCTGCTACCCTATATTACCAAAGCGATCAGAGTTAGTATGGTCAGTTGTCGCGGGCATGAGTATGGGTACGTACAATAACGCTGTTTCGCTGAGAATTGGCCACCAAAGGCCCCGGTCGCTGTGTAGGCGGGGCTAAACTGACTGCGCTGACTGCGCTGGTGGTCTCTGATTCATTGAGAGCAGGAAGACTGGGGGTTGAAAGAGTTGGTCTGATCGATGACGGTGGAGTGATGGATTTATGGGAGGAAGTGTCGATCGTAGATGACGATTTCCCGGAGACCTCCTCCACACTATGGGATGGAGTCTTGTGAAATGTGGCCTTTGATCGACGCCGTAGGTCTTTGAAGAACGGCATGGCGATGTTGAGAGAAGAGAAAAGATGGAAGCTTCTCTGTTGTTTTTTTAGGCGGGTAAATTGTCAGGAACAGGGTAACCGTTTGCGGTTGACGACGAATCGCCCCGCAAGTCACCAAAAAGGGGGGAAAGGGGATTAATTTCTGGTTTATTAGGTAGTGAATATAGAAGTTTGAGAAGATGAAGGGAAAAGATCAAAGATCAGGGATTTCCCTTAGCTCCCCAAAAAATAAAAGGAGCTACTATACTTAGAGCACTTTAAAAGCCCTGAAGCCCCCCCCCCCTCCAAGGCATTACGTACCCTCAATATTCGCCTAAACCCTCATTAATCTGTTATCAGCTCAGCTCAAACTCTTTTAAGTCGCAATGTTTCAGTGTGGATCGGGATCGCACTAATATCCTTAGCTTAGATCTTGTCTGAGAGCTCACATACCCGCCTATGACCACACTGGCATGCCTATGGCTATAATTGACTGTTCCAGGGTCCATAAACTTCTTGACGTTATGCTGCATTTTTGGGAATGTTTGGACTTTGAAGTTACGTAGGTGGCTCTTAAAACCTGTCTCCGTCTGTTAGGCCAACATTAGAATCTTGAAACGGGGGGTTAATAACAGGGCTGCATATATCCATGGATGGCTAAGTACAGCCGCCTAAATAAGAATTGAGTTATTTTTTCTCCATCTCACTATGTGGACATATAGAATGCTTGTTTTCTCCTAATACTCCTATTGCTCTCCTATTTTTTTTTTTTTTTTTTTCCCCTAGAATTTAGTATTCCGTGCACATAAAGTACAACATACGACATCTATAAATGCTTCCGGCGATCTAGAGCATACCTCAGGGGGGATACCTCATCCTCCAATTCAAGTGGATCGGAATCTGTGGCTGCATGCCTGGTTTCTATGGGGATCCTGGAATTTGCAGGAAAACATTTTTCTTATTTGAGAATAAAGAGAATAAAGAGCTTTAGATTAGATTGTACTCCGTACAGGGTATAAAAGGTGATGAGAATTCAACAGGGTAAATGGATAGATCGATTTTCGGAGCAAACAATTGTGGCATAAAATAATAGAGAAATGAAACAAGATAGGGGTTATTGAATTGAACTATCTTGTCTATAGTAGTTATCTCTCAGTGCTCAGTGCTCCGTACTCCGTACTATACTATAGATTAGTTCGATACAGAGTACTCTGTATACATAGTAGATCTGGAAGAAAACATATTCAAGACAAAAAATATCCAAAAATCAAAGACACAAATGTTCTTCCCCAGTATCTACAGGTTAAAAATTTCAATAGAAATTGGTTTCTTTCAGCTGTCAATCCCAATCTGTTCAAGTGCTTCTCCAGAATTGTTCTCCGAGTTCCCGCATTTTGCCAAACTCTCACCCTTCCCTTTCGCCCTTGCTCCCCCCCCCCCAAACCCCAACCTCGACACTACATTCGAAAATATCCTCTCTTTTTTTTGTATTTGCATAGGGGTGTTACGCTTGGGTTGCTTGGGTTTTTGACACAATGCCTCTCTCGCAGCCGGGCTCGGCAGAAAAAACGATACGCAAAATCGATATCGCCCAGGTAAGAGATCAAAAAAAAAAAAGAGGCTGCGGATCCCTTGAGATGCAGTCTTGGCTATTCCTCCAAATACTTGCCACTGCGTTCGAATGCGTCCCGATGATATTGTTGGCGATGTGGGACTGACCCTGGATTGTCTTCGCACAGGTTTCTCTCAGTCTGCAGGATCGATTGGGCCTCGCCAAACTCAAGTACCAACATGGTCGACTACATGGCCTGAACCCGAACCAGCAGAATGGTAGAACCGTTCTCGAGAGTGACAAGCCTTCCGACTCTTCGTCCGAGTTCTCACGCAGCCGTTGCGAGACCCCCTTCACCTCCCCTCCCCTCCAAGCCTCCACCTACTCCAAGGAGCTCCCTCGATCCGCCCGCAATAAACATGCTGCAACCTTCAACTCTAGAGTCATGCAGCCCATGCTGTCTGCCAGTCGAAAGCGCCTCCGGTCGGACTCCGATTCCGAACGTCCTGCCAAGGCAGCCCGGGTCTCGTGGAAGAGTTCTTACCGACTGCCGGAATCCTCCCCTGGCATGAATCGACACCGTACGAGCCGACGTACACAAGCCCCCTTTATGTCCGAGGCTACCATCCCGGAGATGTCATCGCCTGTATATCCCAGACCGTCAGAAGAGATCGATCCCGATCTGCCACTGCACAGTTTCCAGACCATGAGCTCGATCGTAGGCTCCTCCCCTCCACGAACCCCTCCTCCAAAACATATGCGACTGCCCCGAAACAACCAGCCTCAGAACCACGAGGATGGCGCGGATTTGCTTCTATACCTCGCCAATTCCCCGACCCCGGCTCGGGTTGCAAGGGGCAACGGGAACCAGGCCTTCCCACCCTCCACTCCTCCCAGCCAGCACGCCGTACTGCCAGGAATGACACCCACGATGGGCGGCGGCATGTTTGCCAACATCAGCACACCAAATCAGCAATTCAATTTCGCTGATTTCGTGAATGTGACTCCTAGCCCGGCTCAACCAACCTGGGGTGGCCGCACCCCAGGAAATCCTGCTCGCACTCCGCTTACCAGCAACAGAAAGCGATTGAACTTTGATGCCCTGGTTCCTCCAAGTAACTCCAGCCCTCGACTTCGTGGTAAGGAAACCGGGCTGGCGTTACAACTCGGCGGCGAACTGCACCCATGAACCCATTTTCTGTTTCTGTTTCTCCTTCAATTTTCTCTTCTCTGTTCATTTTTGCCTTAACTCCTTCTTAAACCCCATTGACGACTTTCTTATGATCATGTTATGTACACATTGTGTTCATCCCCTATGTAATTTGCCCTCTTTCCCCGGTGTGGAGGCTTGCTCTTTTGAGGACAGACCTGAGCCTTGATTGGGAAGGCCTCTACTGGGACTTGCATCCTCAGGCGTTGTCTTTATTCTCTTTCTAAATGCTTCACTATCATGTCTTGCGTTACCTCTCATTCATCAAGACCGTATGTCTTGCTTTTTCTATGTCATTGATTGCCCTCGGCAATTTCACTGTTCACTCTTATTTCCTTCTTTTTTTTTTTCCTCCTTTGCATCCAGCATACCCTTGATGAGACTTTTAATATTTCTGCATGGCTCTTGTCTTGATATAAGAAGATGCAAAATGAAATGGAACATGTTCATTGAGAACATAGGTGTATCTCAGCACAGCCTTGGAAAAAAAACTACATATTTCCTCTAGCCGGCTTATTTTTATCATGCTTATTGCCTAGAACACAACCCGGGGGCCCAAGACCGCCATAAATCTTACTGTGGATCACCGTAGAACGATATAGACGAGAGCATCTCAACCCAGCATTGACTTCCCTATCTCTGGTCGGCTTATTGAACAGTAGCTGAAAGTTTTCCTTGGACCACGTAGTCAACCCCTCATTTTCACGTCCAATCCGGTCGCGTCTTTTCGCGTCACTTTCGCGTTGCGGTTTAAGAGGCTTTTGGGTAGCCAATCAGAGACGATCAAACTGAAAGTCAAATCTGATGTCATATAATCCCTACTTTGCTTATATTCTGCCACTAGGATATATATATCGACAAGAATAGTCGATCGCTTATACGGTGTCTGTAAGAATTTACTAATACGATCCATCTATTTGGCTTCAGATCATACTAGGGACGTTACATGTAAGAACATCCTAACGTGTTTTATGCAAAGACAGCAAACAGCATAAACTGCGCAAAGGACTTTTTCACGTATGGCCAAGGATAAAGAATATTATAGCGAATGTAGCTCATAAATCAAGGAGCCCAAAATCCGAGTTCGTGCCTCAACAAAAATCATTTGAATTCATAGTAACTACCTAGCCTATCCTTGTCATCTATCATCTATCCTCTATCCTTTCTTTCTCGGTGTTCAGTTCAGTTTCTAGCTTACTGTCATAGTTAGGCTAATAGGAATCATGCTGAGCGCAAGTAGGAGTAGCAGATGACTGAAGGAGAGCACCCGTTGGTTCTTATCAGGTCGAGCCTATAGTACTCACATGTCAATCTGTTGGGTCCAAATCAATCCAAAAACCTTCATTGGCCAACTTACATCGTATGTCCAGTCATCAGAACTGCTCCAATGGGTAGAATACCACATGACAAATGAGTTCCATGGGTAGATGAACCAATTCTTCTGAGACTTGTAGTCGATAAAATACTGCCAGCAATTGCGTATCAGATATATACAATCACAGCAAAAGATGGAAAGTTCTTTTTTGTTTTTGCTTACACTACTGCACGAGCTATTGAATATCGTCGTGGCGATTTTCTCATGCAGACTCTCGTTGTAATCTTTCTCGCTATCCGGCTTGACCTCGACAAAGGAAGCGTGACCTTGAAGAACCGGTGCAATCACCTTCATGACAAGCTTGACGTAGCTGGCATCACAGTTAACGGGATACTATGGGAAGAGGGGGCCAAAAATAAACAGACGTACTTCTCAATGCAGTAAATGGCAGATGTGTGGCCTTTGCCAGAGTTGGGACCCAGAACATAGAAGAAATTAGGGAATCCGGCCATCGCAGTGGATTTGTATGCCTCCTTGTAGCCGAAGTTACCCCAGTGTTCATCGCGAGTCCGGCCGTTTCGCCCTACCAGCTCGACATCGTATTGCGTCAGGGCGAATCCGGTGGCAAGAAGCTGTATTGGGAAGGGCAGGGATCAACTAAGGCAACAAGCCAAGCAAAGGTATTAGGTATTGACTTACAATTGCATCTGCAGGATATTCTTGGCCAGACTTGGTGAGAATCGAATGAGATGAGACTTTGACAATCGGGTCATCGGTAAGATGAATATTGCGTTGTTGAAGGCAGCTGATATACCTATTGTTGTCGAAGATCCGGCGCTATATTGAAAGGAGACTCAGTATTTAATCCCCAAATTGGAGCTCAGTCTGAAATCTTGCCTTGCATCCAATCTCATATTTTGGCGTCAAAAGGGGCCAATATTGCTCTTTTATGCCACAGCAGTAAGCAAAAGGTCGACACAAATGATCCCTCTTCATTGAACCGAACTCACCGGGTGCATTGCTTTGAACGTAAGCCTTGCTTCTCTCTGCTGATGAAAATCTGGCTTTGTTTCCCTTATGATTGATATTGAATCTGACAGCCGTGCTCTCCAAATAGAGGAACACAATCAGTCTCAAAAGGAGTTGAACACCGGGCACATAGCGAAAAACGAATTTCCATTTATTGCTGATTTGCATATTGTCATTTTGCAAATAGAATTGGGGAGTCTGGAATAATGAGAAATCATATCTGATATATGTAGAAAGTATATCTTACCCGAATGAATTGAGTGATGCTTTGAGCTTCTTGGGAGATAGCGGGAATGAGCTGAGCAGCCGAACCTGATCAGATGTTAGCCACATTCCCCTAGGACAGAGAGGAAGTGTAACTCACATCCGTTGCCAATGACAATCACATCTTTCTGATGAAGAGATAAGTCCGCCTTCCACGCAGCGGTATGAACGATATCACCTTCAAAGACTTCGGCACCCGGAACACCAAATGGATTTGGATTGACCAAGGCTCCAACCGCAGAGATCAAGATCTTACACTCGTGATAGAAGGTCTGACCTGTAGACAAGTCTTTCAACTTAACTAACCAGCTGTTTGTCAGGTCCTGCCAATAAGCCCCTTCCCATTCTGTATTCCGAACAATATGTCGAGAGACATCAAACTTATCCGCTACTCTGTTGAAGTATTCCAAGATCTCCGCTTGTGGGGGGTAAACCTTCGAAAAATCGGGATTTGGGGCAAACGATAGACTGTAGAAGACCGCTGGGATATCCACGGCACATCCTGGATCTACAATGGCATGTCAGTCACTGGAGCCCATTGAAGAGAAAAGAAAAGAAATCAATCACGAACTAACATTTATTTGCCCACCAAGTCCCTCCTGGAGCAGGGGAACGGTCATAGATGACATAGTCATCACAATTGTGCTCTCTTTTAAGTTGACAGGCTGTAGCAAGACCAGAAAAGCCAGCTCCAATAATGAGCACTTTGGAGAAAGTCTTGTTCTCCGAGGGAACCATGGTGAAATCCAAGAAAAATTATTCTTCAAGCAAGATGAATGAGAACCAAAGCGTGTTTCGGATATCTTTCTACAGATTTCTCAAGCCAGAACTTATAGCTGCTCGGCGCTATTGTTCTTGTGAGAATGCCGTTTACTTACTTTGGCATATGATACTGACAGAAGTCTAGATACTAGCATGGCTTACATGTCTTGTTACACATCTTGCTAGATCCACCAGTCACCGCTCGACCCACTACACCCCTTCGGAATATCTAGGACGTTAGGAGTAGATCCATGGGAGATCAGTTAAGTATTAACTATATACGGGTTGTTGACCTCCTTGTGTTTGATCGCAGTCAATTCAAACCCACTTTACATGCTCTACCTAACGCAGAAAACCCCATCTGGGATTGCAATAGTGACCGTTTCGTCTATACGCATTCTCCGGCCGTATACAGTTCTCTAGCCTCATGCAACTGACATGTGGAAAAACGATGCGGTGAGTGGTTGCGCTAGCCAATAGAAGATATATGAGTTGTGATAATCTCGTGTATAGTTCGGCATAGACTAGTCGTATCTTCTTGCATCAAACACCAATTCGATTGCACAATCCGCTCGCCCGATATACTGTTTTGTCTTTATGTTCAAGTTTGGGCATCAGGGACTATCATCTTCTTTGTCTCTATAAATTTCATCCAGTCATCCCACTACCACAAGAGCTCAGCTGGAACCAACATGTTTATTGTCCTTTTCCCTATCTTGGTGGATGCCATTCACCAAATTGGCTGGGCCAAGAGTATCAAGATCATTACGCCTTTCTTCCTGTTAGCTGTTATTAGTACACTACTTGCTTGGGTGTCTATGGTAGCATTTCTCCGACGAAAGTTGGTCTTGTGGTCTAATGAAGACCCCAAAGCCGAGAATACGTTGCTGGGAAGACCTCAACTCTATCCGGCACGTCTAACACATGCTAGCTTCTTCCCGGAGAAGTACCATTACTGGATTGTTTATTTCCTCGTTGGTGTGCCCGTTGGACTTCGTGGTCGTGTTGGGACTGTAGTTTCTATTGAAAGTGATCAACAAACCTCGGTCACAAATCCTTTCTACTCTTTTGTGAAGAGAATCTTCCGGATTCCATTTTGGTTTAGAATTGATACCAGTTGGTATCTTCACCGTGGAGATGGCCATCTAACCCTGGCCGCAAAACTAGAACACTTTTTGAAAGAACGGGTATGTTAGTTCTACCTGGAAAATCTTTATGCCTTGGTGTTAATACTTCCAGGGCGAGGATCCAAAACAATACCCTTATGCGTATCTTATCAGCATCCCTCAGTTTCTCTGGTGGACCAAAAGCCCGATCTCGTATTGGTATCTCTACTCGCCTCTCAAAGAGCTCAGTGGAATCATCATGGAAATCAACAACTCATACGGCGAAAAAAAGAACGCTTTCTGCCGATTAACCAAGGAAGACTCTTCCTCTCATGAGAAAGTGAAAACTTGCGAGGTTTTCAGCGCTGCTTTAGGAAAGGGACCTGATGGCGATCAACTCATTCGGTTCACATCATCGGCTCCCACTGCCAAGTATTACAAAGGCAGCTGGGAGAAAGACATATTTGCTTCGCCTGTCGAGAAAGTTGAAGGCGGATTCGCCCTTCGATTCATGGATCCATTAGATCCAGCACCTGAGAAAGGTGGCCCTCTGCACTCTAATATGACGCTTATCAGCACATCTGGAAAGCCTAAGATTTCTAGTCGTCTTTTCTCCGTTGCTCCTCCCATTGACCCTCTTGAAACATCATCCTGGGAGCTGGTGAGCTTTCTTCTCAGCTGGTCATTTGTTGTGCCAGTATCGATTGGTCGGATTGTGGTGGAGGCACTCCGTATTCGATTCAGAGGGAACATGCCCTATTTGAACAAACCGGACGTGAAGAAGGGAAATATCCCACGCAATGCCTCAGAAACAGAAAGGTCCTCTCACTGATCTCCGTTGATTATTTGAATTTTCTAACAGTCTTCACAGGGGTTTGGAGCCTTTCTTCCGGCTATACCTCTCCCACCTTGTCAAAACATGCCGTTTTCCTTTGGAGGTGATCTATACGCCTGCCAAATCACTACATCTCCACCCTATGTCAATGCGTTCTCCGGTGAAAACCTTTACATCTGCACCTCCCCCCACCCTCCTAATCCAGCCTCTCACGCCTCAGTTCTATACAAATATCCTAAAATACCCGGATGCCAAAACTGGAGCTATCTCCGAAATGGAGAACGTGCCCCAGGCCTGTGATCCGGAGTCCCAGCGGCTATGGGCATCCGATCCAGCGATGCTGCAAAGATTGATTGAATCAGCAATAGACTCGCCCAATACCGAGATCGCTCATGTACGCTCGGCTTCAGTCCCCGCTGAGCTTCCGATCCATCCCGCGAAACTTCCTCCTTGGCAAACGAAGTCAGGAGTAAGGTCATTTATGGATACTTTTACCTATTCCAACTGCCCCTCAGGCATGCGCAGGAGATATCGGGCAGCAAGGATCTACTGTTATCTGACAGAGAAGTTTGCGTGGGGGTCTTACAGATTGGCTGCTGTTTACGAGTTTTTGTTGCGCACGGTAGTTTTAGGGCTATATTGGAGGGGTCATCGCTAGCATTGCGCCGGAAGTAAAAAGTTTGACAGTTTATCGAAGGACGCCTGTCGTGGTTTTCCCAGCCTCGCCCGAATCCGACAAATTTTCGAATCCGCTTGCCGCATCTTTGACACCAGAGGGGAGTCGCGCGGCTTTTATACGATCCCCGAAATCATTCACCGGCCTCGACTATCTTTTTCAAGATTCGGAGTCAGTGGCCATAGGGTCTCCACTGCGTGATATTTTGAACACGCGGCTATACAAGGAAGGGGGTCTTAGTCTCATCTTGGGCAACTTTTCGGATGTCTTGACGAATAGAGAAGCCAACGAACAGTTATATTAGTCCTGGGCGAAGCTGGCCCGAGCGAAGATAAGAGACCCTATCAAACGAGACATACTTGTCCCTCGGACGCTCCCCTATCCGATTGGAATTAAAAGACCTTGCTCTGTTGACAACTATTACGACGCATTCAACAGGTCCAACGTGGATGTGGTAGACATGAGAAAAGAAGAGTTGACGAAGATCACCAAAAACGTCATCCAGAGTGGCTCAACCAAACGTGAATTCGACGTCATTATCTGCGCAACTGGATTTGAGCCTTTGGGTACCGGGTTAACCAGATTGAACATCACTGGCAAAAACGGTGTGGATTTGGCGGACGTTTGGAAAACCCGTATCATTTCCTATCTGGGGATGGCTGTCCCTGGATTTCCTAACATGTTCTATCTATGCGGTCCACAAGGCCCAACTGTTAAAGTGAATGCTCCAACGACTGTTGAATGTCAAGCACAGTGGATCTTCTCCACTTTGAAGAGTCTTCGCAAGTCCCATATTGACTGCTGTGAGCCGACTCTATCTGCATCTCAGGGGTGGGTGAAGAAATTGAATCAGCAGTGGAATAACTCATTATACCCAAAGGTAAATGTATGGGAGGCTCGCAGTTCTTCCGGCAAATCAGAGCCACTCTGGTAAGTCTCTACACCGATAATTGTTGGTCAATATACTAATTCTATCTAGGATCGAAGGGGTACATAAATACTATGATTACATACAGCAATGCCAGGCACCGGACTTCCGCGGCTTTGTCGAGCTGCGGCCAAAGCCTTCAGCAAGTTTGTAGCTAAGGTGTAGCATGTTGCTACACAAGCAAACGGGGTGTCCCTAAGAACCGTTGTAAATGCTACATTTACGTTCGTTTTTTAGTCGCATACTATACCATAGTTCTAGTAGGATGGTGATCTAACTTTACTCTTTCGGTTTCACACTCCCCACAGATAAGACTATATAGAATGAAGATGTGACCTTATACAACTCAAAATGCCTTCCAACCAAGTTATCTTTCTCTCAACCTTTGAATTTAGAGCAATCTGCTCTCCAACAATTCTTCTGTTTTAGAGGTGAGACTGTACACAACGGTGTATTACGCCCCTAAGCCTAAAAAGGCAATTCACAGTCGGTCCAGATTCACTGCTACGACATGCCCACATTGTGCTGCCTGGCTCTTGTGCCCACAACCTTACGACCTGTCGATTGCTGAAAGTCAATAGCGGTCTCATAGATTAGACTTACCATCAAAAATCCTAATCTTTCCAAAAGTTCAAGCAGAAGTGGGAATTGTGGTTCATATCAGAAAATGGGTGGTAGAATGCTCATGACGGAACTGGAGGGCAATTGGTTGCAAGGCGTGGGGGCACGAGACCGCAGCCTAACCAAACTTGGTGCTTGGCATATCAAGCGTGTACCTGGGCAGATCCCCGGGCCTATCTACTTCAAGCCCACACCACGTCTACAGATGCAGGCAGCGTTTTCCCATGCATTTATGTTTTAAAATCTGCATCCGAGTGGGTTTCACATAATTCCCTCATTCCGAGATGTCTTACCAAAAGCTGCCAAAACAAGGGCCAACACCCTGATCGAGACTCGCGCCGGCCAGGGTCATTACAGTCGGTTCCGATCCGGTAGGTAGACGGGAGATCACAAGAGGACTATAAAACAGGTCGCTTTCTAGCCAGAAATTCCTCTCCATCATCGGCCCTCAGCACCAGCATTTCCTCTCCATCATCGGCCCTCAGCACCAGCATTATCATCATCTATCTTGTTTCTTTGCCGTCATGAGCCACCTGCGTCGACTCGATTCGCCCAGCAGCGGTGTTGCTTTTGTTGCCGGTGCCAACGGAATTACTGGTCATGCCATTGTCGATTATCTTACTCGGCGTCCCGAAACTGAATGGTGAAGATCCCGAATACCTTGACATGCGACCCCTCAGACGGTTCTTTTTTGTCCTTGTCTAACTAGAATTCTTGGAAAAAAAAGGTCAAAGATCATCATCACCTCACGTAGGCCACTCAACGCTCGCTTCACGGATCCCAGGGTTGAGTTTGTTGCCCTGGACTTCTTGAGCTCTCCGGCGAGCATTGTGGAGCAGATCAAAGAACTCTGTGGAGGCGTCACGCATGCATTCTTCACGTCGTACATCCACAGCAACGACTTCTCAATCCTCTATGAAAAGAATGGCCCCTTGTTCAGAAACTTCTTGGAAGCTGTGGATCAAGCTTGTCCGAAATTGCAGCGTGTTGTTCTACAGACGGGCGGAAAGGTACATCGTGATATTCGATTTGCCGGAATCATTATTTACCCCAGGTCTCAAAGATGGCAATCACTGATTTATAGTTAGCATTACGGATTTCAATTCCGAGAGCTGAACTCCCCACTCGTGGAAGATATGCCTCGATATGACGGACCTGAATCCCTTTTCTATTATGAACAGGAGGATGACATGTTTGCTATCCAAAAGCGTCGCCAAACCTGGAACTACAATATCATTCGTCCGATGGGAATTATTGGATATGCCTCTCAATGTAGGACACCTCGAATTTCTTTGTTACTTCATACCTGACGCAATCAATAACAGACATTGGCATCAACGAGGCTCTGCCTATTGCTCAGTACTTCCTCATTTGTCGTGAGCTCGGCGTGCCTCCCAAATGGCCAGGAAGCTTGAACGGCTACCTTCGGGTCGAGAACCAGTCTTACGCCCCTAGCATTGCTGACTTGACCGTGTGGGCTGCTACCCAGGAGTGCTGCAAGGATGAGGCGTTCAATCACGTCAACGGTGACGTGATCGTCTGGAAGTTCCTTTGGCATTTCCTGGCTGACTACTTCAAGACCCCGCTAGGCTCGAGTGAACCCACGGAAACCACTGAGCCCATGGACATGCTTGAGTGGGCCAAGGACAAGCGCCCTGTTTGGGAGAGCATTGTGGCCAAGAATGGCGGTGACCCCGACGCTTTCCAGCTGGACTCATTCGCCCTGATGAATTGGTACATCACACCTACTGGCATGAAGTCACCACTCATTAGCACGGTGTCGAAGGCGAGAAAGCTTGGTTGGTCCCGCTACGATGACACTTACAGCACGTGGCTGAAGACTTTCGAGTCCTATCAGACTGCTGGTGTCTTGCCTGCTTCTTAGGCTGGGGGTGGCATGTTCAATAGCTCTTGGTACAGCTTGAAGAGGGGTTCTCTATTTCAAAAAACATGAAGTTAGATCTCCTGAAGTACTAATCTAAACGACAACTCGCATGTGGATCAGCCTAGCGGTATGGTGAAAATGGTCGAGGGCACTGGCTTCGAGAATCACAGGTTATACATAGATTGTGGTATCCGACATAAATGAACTCATCTACTCCATTCCCTCCTCTAGAGCAACCTCCCCGGTCTCCCCAGTCCGTTCCATCTGTTTCCGCCACAGCAACGCTAGATAATCCGACGAGGTAGCCTCATCTATGGATTTATCATCACGAACCTTGATAAAACGTGGAAAGCGCAGACTCAACCCGCGCTCATCACTAACCAGCCCAATAGCCGCCGGGTAGGTAGGACTGAGCGTGATATCTGCAAAAGCCATTTCCCACACCTCAGATGGCTCAAACCACACGTCTGGTTCGCCGTGGTACTCGATGTAGCTGGGGCGCGAGATGACGTTTGTGCTGCCATGTGCATATTTTTCTTTGTTGCTTTGGTAGAATTTGTCCGTGAACCCGGACATGCATTTTGTTACGGCTTCCAGGGATCCTGTTTCCGGGTTGCGTACTGCCAGTAGGATCGGGGACCACCATTTTGCTTTGCGGCCTTGGCCGTGCCACCCGGCTATCGGGATTAGGTCGAGGGTTTCGGAGGAAGTGCTGTAATCTTTTTTTACTTTGAGCCAGGATTCGAGTCGTTTGTCGGGTTCGTAGGTTGAGAGGAGAGGTTTACGTCGGGTGGGTTTCGCTTTGGTTATTGGGTCGGACGCTGCTTGATTTGGTTGCTTGGGGATTTTGGTAGCTATTTCGTCAGAGAGGTTGTTGTTGATTTGAGTGTTTGCACCGCGCTCGTTGTCGAGGAGTTTGACCATGATGCCCTCGCACTTGACATCAATGGCAGATTTGAAAAACTCAAGGACAGGCTCGGAATCCGCTGATGTCGCATCCGTGCTCTTCACCCAGCCGAAGTGTTTTGGAATCTCTACAAAGAGACTGCGAAGTAGTTCGCGGCGTTCTCGAAAGGGGCGATCTAGCAAAGGCTCGCCGTTGAGAAACATGAGGTCGAATGCGAAAAGACAGACATTGACTTTGATGTCTCCGATTTCAACGTTCTTCTTTGCACGATTGGTCAAGACCTGGAATGGCTTAAGATCGCCAGTCTCACGGTCCACGGCAACTACTTCTCCCTCCAGGATAAAGCTGGACACGCCTTCTCCTCGTATTTGCGGGACCAGGGAGACAAGATCTGGGTACTTCTCCGTCATGAGCTCCAGATGGCGCGAGAAGATAGAAATTTTCCCTTGCTCGTCGCAGTGTACCTGCGCACGTTGCCCGTCATACTTGTACTCGCAGCTGAAGTCTCGGCCTTGGAGCTTCGTCAACATCTCCGACAGATCGCGTGTGATGCTGCCCAGCATCGGCCTTAGTGGAATGTGCATGGTTAGGCCGCATCTGACTAAAAGCTCTTCCGTGGGTCCGATCTCTAATAAGCAGGGCACCAAATCATTGTAATCAGGATGTCTAGCGTATGACGCTTTGACTGTTTCTTCCGCATTGCTGTAGAGTTCTGCAAGCTCGTCCTTCTTCAAGCATGCAAGTTGATGCGGACGAACCTCAAAATCCGCCCCGGCTGGCTTAGAATATAAGACAGATCGTGCGAGAGCAATCAGCATCGTCGTCTTCACTGCACCAATTCGCAGATTCTGAACCAATGTCCGGACAATATATCGACTCTCATCGGCACCGCGCGCATCCTGTAGAAGCTTCTCGACGATCCTCTGTTTGGTTTCTTGACTACCAGGTCCTTTGCTAGTGGCAATTTTCTTCAGTGACTGGTATACTCCCTTGATTCTTAGAGGCTTCGGCTTCACCAGAGTGAATGCTTGTCGTTTTTTAGCTTCGAATGCAACATCTCCCGCATCGCCGTGCTTATCATACAGGGTCTTGAGCCCTTGGCTATTGAGGCCGTATATCTTTTTTAGTGCTTTGGAGATCGAAGAGCCTCCCAGGCCTAGCTCTAGTTCATCGTATGGGGGTGATATGGAATTAGTTGCTAGCCACACAGCAGGCAGGACACTCGACGGGTCCCCTTCAATCAGAATCCGAAGAAAGTTGACCAGCGTATCGACAATCTTTATTCGACTGGTTGTCGCATTCGCGAGGACGAAGGCTCTCGTTAATAAAGCGTACGAAGCATCTCCGCCTTCGCTTGCCCAATGCGACCGCAGTTCTGCTGCGTATTGACTCGCGTCGAATCTCTGGGGGCTTTGATCAAGCGGAATAGCAAGGGATATTGTATCCTCCGTCCCAGCTGACGACTGTAGTGAGAGAGTGCTCTTCTTTGGTATTACCGGCGCTACCGGGGGTGAAACAAGCGAGCTTAATGTAGAGGGGGCTGGGTCGATTTGCGGCTCTGCTTGTGTATCCTCAGTAGGAGTGCTTGCATTTTCCTGCTCATTCCACTCGGCCTGTAGTTTGCGCGCAAGAGCTTCATCGGAGAGGGTTTGCTCAGTGATATCGGGGACTTTTAAATTATTTTGTTCGGTGATCTGTTCTTTAAAGAACGATTTAATACTGCGCTTCGGTGGTGACGAATCTCCAGTTCCCTTTCGCTTCTTGGCTGGACTGGGCATTATTCAAAGGGTTGAAAGTGTGAGAGCTTATGGTTGCCACTGCGGAAGACGTCAGTCCAAAAGGCGGAGATCAACATTCGCGACACCTCGCGCTTCCGCAGTCAAGTTTCCTCCTTCAACAATGGCCTCTCTCACGGAATTATCTTCGCATGAGCGGACTAGGGTCGAAGATTATTTAAATGACAAGATTCAGGTTTCTGCCGATCTGGAGAGTTTAGATTCGCTCCTATCCAGTCTACGCGCGCAACAGGAGCTTCAGCGGAAGCAGGTACCGCCCCTCACAACCCCAACCTTCTCTCTAAACATGACTGATACAAACTCGTGACCAAATAGCTAGCGGAAGCCGGCGAAGCACTTTCAAATGCCACAAAAGCCTCTAACGATCATGCCGAAGCCACTCGAAAGCAAGCCGAGGCGTTCACTGCGGAGCAAGCGGACATCGACCGACGATTAATGGCCATCACACAATCCGAAACCAGCGATGAGGCGGTACGGAGTCTGGAAAAGAGCATGGAGAAACTTCAACGGCTTGAACTATCCAAGGGATATGTGGAGTTGCTCAAGGAAGCCGAGGAATTGAGGTAATGCTATATTCACCAATCGTGAGGGGCTGGATACTGAGACAGCAATACAGCAAGCAAGCTTTAGCAGACATTGCCTCCGAACCACGCGCCGCTCTGAAACCGTATGCCCGACTACGAACTATCGTCGGACTACTAAAGGACGCCCAGCCTGCTGCCGAAGGAGCGGCTCCCCATCTTGTCGACTATACAGACAAACTAGCCTCTGCATTGAGACAACAAATGAAGACATACTTCAGCGACCGGCTGCAAAAGACGCTGGAAGAGTTGAAATGGCCGACAAAACAACTGAATGTTACGAACCAACTCCTAGCCCGGTGGAGGCAAGACGTTGAACTGTTGATCGACCTGCAATTACCGTATGATCTGTCCATTCATATCTGGATGCCTATTTTAACGAGTTTCCTTCTAGTGAACTTCAAAGCCGTGATGCACTCGCGTCCGGACTGAGCTTCGAACCACCAGTCTTGTTCCCATTAGAGGTCATGGTGCATCATCTCGATCTCCGATTCAAATACCACTTTAGTGGAGACAAGCCAACAAACCGACTGGATAAGGTAATGTGGACCTAGGACAATGCATAAATAGAAGTCTAACTTGGTTTCTAGCCTGAATATTTCCTCTCGCACATAATGGACCTCATCAACCAATTCGGCGGGTTTTTTGTCTCTTATCTGCAGCCCATCTTCGACGAAAGAGCCGAAGCAGTCGGTCCAAGTCTGGAATGGAATTTTTACAACGCATCACATAGTTACATCACTGCATTGCTTCCTATGCTGAGGCAGAAAATCGGCTTGTTCCTCCCTCAAATTTCAAACTACCCTCAATTGCTCAGCCACTTCATTCATGAACTGATGGATTTTGATAACGAAATCCGAGAAACGTGGAACTATATGCCAGATCCATATGCGGACGACAATTGGAAGGGCGTGACCTGGGAAGAGTTGACCAAACAGGGCTGGTATGATCGATGGCTTCAGGTTGAGAAGGACTTTGCATTGGCGAGATACAAAGATATCATCGACACCGTGGACAGCGGAGAAATCGATTACGATGGCATGGAGCTCACTGCAACGAAACCAACAAAGGCTGCAATCCGCGTGAATGACCTTCTCGAAACTATAACTGAGCGCTATCAGCCCCTGTCATCTTTTAGTCAGAAGCTGCGATTTCTCATTGACATCCAAATCACAATATTCGACCAGTTCCATGAGCGCCTCTATTCTGCACTAGAGGCCTACCTCGCGATGACGTCGACGCTTGGACGGACTGTACAGGGAGCCGACGGGCAAGCCAGCGTCGAAGGTGTCGCCGGGCTGGAGCGACTGTGCAGGGTCTTCGGAAGTGCTGAATACCTTGAGAAGAAGATGGAGGACTGGAGCAACGATGTGTTCTTCGTTGAGCTCTGGTCCGAACTTCAAGATCGGGTTCGACAAAACCGAGACAGCGGTCGCAACGTAGCTGGTACTATGTCTGTTGCAGAGGTAGCGTCGCGTACCTCACCCGCAGTTGCCAATAACAACGGCACCCACAGCGCGACCTCATCCGATGGCGCCCTCTTCGATGAGACGGCATCCGCGTACCGTCGTCTCCGACTTCGCTCGGAAACTATCATCACATCCACCTTGTCCTCCAATATCCTCGCCGCTCTGAAGCCCTACTCTCGCGTATCCACATGGGCAACGCTGTCAACCCCCTCTGCCACAGCGACGGCGGCTCCCCTCTCACCCACTT